CCCCTATAGTGCTCACGTAATACTTGAACGGCCCCAAAGGTAAACAAAAAGAAAGATAAAACGTTGACGTTGTTTTCACAGCATGCTTTAAATATAGTAATAATGTTGTCAAAAAAAGTTGAAGAAATTATTTTTTTTGAGTATAACACTTCTAATGTCTTCTGAATAAATATATACTAAGTGACATATAAATCCGAACACCCAGTTTAAATGGTTTTATTTTAATAAAAGTTGGTGAATGTATTTATCTTACTGTAAATAACAAGTGAACAAATTTTCAGCCTTATCAGTTGGACATTCCGGTTTTTATACTGCTTTTTTTTAATTCACTAACGCTCTAAAAATGAATATTTCAGCCGCAGTAAAGAATCAACGTTGGCGGATTTTGATTCTTGACATCCTTTACGATCGGTTACAATGCCTAGAGTACGGAGACCTGTACGATTTCGTCAACTTAGTGAGTTTGATAGGGGCCGTATAGTGGGACTTCGGGAAGCTGGACTTTCTTTTCGGACAATTGCAGTTAGAGTGCAAAGAAGTGTAGACACTGTGGTTAGGTGTTGTCAGGCATGGCTTCGAGAAGGCCGTACGCAAAGAGCAAGGGGCACTGGACGCCGCCGTAGAACAACAGACCGTGAAGATCGCCGCCGAAGATTATTGGCCTTAAGTGACCGTTTCTCCACTACCAGGTCCATTGCAAATGAATGGTTTGCAGAACACGGAAGACCTATTGGCATGCGAAGTGTTTACCGACGAATGAGAAGTTTTGGCTTGTTTTCATACCGACCACACTGGGTCCTCCCTTTAACTCGAGAACACCGACGTAATCGCCTTGAGTGGTGCAGTCAACGGTCACTCTGGGATCAGGAATGGAACAGTATTGTCTTTAGTGACGAGTCTCGATTTTGTTTAGGCATGCACGATGGTCGTGCCAGGGTTAGAAGGCGACGTGGCGAAAGGAGGAATCCACAGTTTTTTGTTGAAAGACATGTTCATCACACTGTTGGAGTTCTGGTTTGGGGTGCTATAGCTTATGGTTCCAGGTCACCTTCAATCTTCATCAGAGGTATCATGAACGCGCAGCGTTATATCCACGAAGTTCTAGAACCCCATCTTTTACCCTATCTTGACACCCTGGCAGGTCCAACTTTCCAAACAAGATAATGCCCGACCACATGTTGCAAGAGTCACAATAGACTTCTTTCAACATAATGATGTCACATTGTTACCATGGCCACCAAGATCTCCCGACTTATCCCCAATTGAGCACGTGTGGGATATGATGGGTAGGAGATTGCTCAATTTGCAACGTCCTCATCAGACTCTAGAAGCACTTCGAGAGGAGTTGGTGGTTGCCTGAAATGAGATACTACAGGAGGACATTGGCCACCTGATTAGAAGCATGCCTAGGCGCGTTGGAGAATGCGTAGCACATCAGGGTGCATCCACACATTATTAAAGGTCAAAGGGCTTCAAAGCAGTGCAATCATTTTGAAATTTTTATCATTTACTTATTATGCTTCATTAAGTACTGATACAAAATTTTATTAAAATAAAACCATTTAAACTGGGTGTTCGGATTTATATGTCACTTAGTATATATATAATTTTTTTTTCGTTTTTCATCCCCAGCTCTGCCGACACTGGTCCGACTTTGAGTAGCTATTAAGCTTTTCCGGCATTTGTATAGTAGTAATCTTGTGTGAAAATTCTATCCAAATCCAAGCAGCAGTTTTCAAGTTATAGACGGCCCAAGGCTTAATGGATAGATGGAACCACAGACAGACCAACGGATGATAAACATGTCACACAGCGTGACACACAAGTCCCGGAACGGCTCTCTATTTTCTCGGGTAAGGTATTTTTAGAAAAAATCAAGGTCAGGCCTTCAATAACTTTCAACCAGGAATTCACGGTGAACTTAACCTCCACCTTCAAGGTTAATTTACCGTCAACTTCATTTTTGCGAATAGAAACCCCTAGTTTTGATGACGGCAATCAAAAGAACAGAACATTTTACGTTCAAATACAATCAAAGTCCAAGATCAGGATGACTACTGAAGTACAAAAGAAGATCAAATGTGTGTTGTTTGGAAAACCTCTATAAATATCACAGGATTAGTGATGAAAATAAACATCAAGGTCAGGTCTGTAGTAAATTTTGCTGAGTAATCTTGGGTTTGACCTTGAACCTCACCACCTTCAAGGTCATCACAAGGTCATAGTTTTTCAAATAGACACCCGCTAGAACAGAATTAACCTTGAATTCTAATACACATTTTAGCATGAAATTTGCGGCTCTATCGATTGTCGGCATCAAATAGGCGTTTCTATTTGGAAAAATAAAGTTGTTCTTGGAATGACTTCGAAGGTGAGGTTTAAGTTCAAATCCAAGATCATGTAAACATTTACTAAAGACCTGACCTAACCAGCTATTTTCGTCACGATCTTTGCGACATTTTTAGAGGTTTTCTAAGCAGCACGTATTTGACCTCCAATGGTTATCTTGATCTTGGATTTTAATACATATTTGAATTTGAAATTTCCCGCTCTTTGCTACCACCAGATATAGAGGTTTCCATCAAAAAAGTTAAGTTGATCTTGAAATTACCGTGAAGGTGAGGTTCAAGGTCAAGTCCACGACCATTCGTCAAAATTTACTAAAGAACTGACCTTGATATTTATTTTCATCACTAATTCTGTAAGATTCATAGTGGTTTTCCTAGCAGCACAAATTTGACCTCCATTTGACCTTTAGTGCTCACAATAACCTTGGTCTTCAACCCGTATTCGAACATAATATTTTCCGCTCTTTCGATTACCGGCATCAAAAATAGGGATTTACATAAAAAAATAATGTTGACTTTGAAATAACCTTGACTGTGAAGATCAAGGTCAAATCAAAGGTCAGCGTTCACTACCTCGTTAAATTTTACAAAAAACTTGACTTTGATAGCTATTTCCATCGCTAATCCTGTAAGATTGATAGAGGTTTTCCTAGCAGCACACATTTGATCTTCATTTGACCTTCAGTGGTCAAGCTGACATTAGACTTTAATTGTGCTCAAACGCAAAATTTTCTGATCTTGCGATTGCAGGATTTTTAATAGGAGTTAACCTTAAAAGTGAAGGTCAAGGTCAAATTCAATTCACTGTTGAATACTTGCTGAAAGTAACGGAAGACCTGACCTTGATCTTTTCCAAAAATACCGTATTAAAGGGGTTCGCCGGGTGGTTGCGTTCAGTTGCGTTGAGGTGTCCACATGATCACTCATTCGCCGTCGAAAATAAATGGTTTCAGCACCAACACACTCCACGTCCATACTTGTCGGTTGACAAACTACTGCGGACGCGCGTATGGATGCTTGCACGATGATCGTGCCTATTATGAACGATCAACGATCATCGCTGATAGTGAAGTGCAGGCGTTAATTATTGTCTGTTGTCGATAATCGATTGTCGGCTGTCCGCTAGCATTGTTGATACTTGTTACTTTCGAGAATTAGTTACTAATCGTTACTCTTGTAGAAAGAAATCATTAGATGTCTTCGTTACTTTGATTACTATGAGTAGTATCTGTATAACTATTTGGCAGTGCGCGTCGTTGGATTAATGTCGAATCTGAACAACTTCAATGGAACAGACTATATTATCTTGTAAGAAAATAGACAACCTTAACCTTAAGGTGGTTGATCACGTTTTTTATGTTTTATTTTTGGAGCCGCTGATTGGATTTTTGTGATGGTCTGTAGTGGTACTTACTTTAATAATGATATTATCAGGTTTTACACACTTTGTTCAAAAATTTATGAATTTTTTTGGTCCAATTTTCTGAATCCTATTTCCATACTTTCTCGAAAAATATCAATGCGACCGAGTTCAAATTTCATGTCCACATTAAATTAAAGTATCTTAATGTCATGAGTCCATTGTTAAAAAAAATGATATCTTTTCAGCCAAATCTTTTTGTCACGTGTTGGGTGGCTCATGACATGTAAACCATGATATCCTGTCGGTACGTGAAGACATTTTTAAGACTGCTCAAAAAATGGACGAGATAATATGGAAATGCGATGAAAAAATCTATTCGACCATGCATAGTTTATTCAAATGCAAACATCGTATTTTCAAACTTCATGCAAAACGAGATAGGTTATTATAGGACAGGGTGTCATGGGACTTATATGAGCCTAAAAACTGAAAATACTTCATATTTACTAGAAATGCTTAAAAAGCATGTCTGTCAGTTATAAAGATGATCTGTATATGGGCTTAAGGAACATCGGAATGGCAAGTAACTTTGAAGTATTTCAATTAAGCATGTACCAGCATAAAAAATTCTACGTGGAGCTTAGTCTACACATACTATTGGTGGTCATTCTGAATTATAAATGCTTAGCAAAATGTGGGATAAGTGAACACGAATCAAATTGACATAAATGTTATTATTGTGGTTTTCGTCAACCGTGCGTTACCCTATTGTCGCTTTTCTGACTCATAATACTGCCGAACTTTGCTCCATTCCAATCGACCCCTTATCCCTTTTCAGGTTGCGAATATCACCACAATAAGAGCGAATTTGAGTCACGCTGTAAATAGCTACACTTAATTTTTCAGATTGGCGAACAGAATTTGATAATTGTTTTTAAATCTGGAGATTACAGGTTTCCACCCTAATGTGGGATGTCTGGCAACCCTGATGCATGAGCGGCAGTGCTACAGTGATGCCTAAGATGGCAGAATCCAGCGTTGCCACTCAACGATCAACAATTTTACGGAAACCGGGTATGGAAAACAGAGTAATCAAAGTAAACATTTCGTGCGCGGATTGATACTCGTTAATTAGGGTACCTATGAGTAACGAGTGCTCGGGTAACGAATAGTTACTTTTTCGACACCTCGATGGTCCGCTACTATTGGTTGTTCGTGTTTTACAAGTCAAGCAAGTGCACTGTATAATGCTTATAGTTGTTGCGGTCTAGTAGTATTTGCATATTTACCTTGTCTTGAAGTTTTTTGTTTTCTAAGCAGCGTCTATACTCTAAGCTGGAGAAGCTTACGGAGTTGTAAAGGGGAAACCAAATCTTCGGACACAGTTTGTAGAGAACCTCGTCTACAGCTTTTCGTGCTCTGAAGGATTTTCTCATTACCAAGTCGCGCATTTCAACGTAATTGTACATCGCCAAGTCGCAAACAGCCTGGACATTTTGAACGCGCATTTCGCTATAGAGTTTGATGATTTCTTTAACTTCCAGATGGTTCTTGTCCAGCAACTCACTTAGGACACTTACATCTTCAAATCCTGAATTCATCCCTGCAAAAAATTATACGCCTTTCTTCAGTGGGCAATATTCATGCTGTAATGCCATGTAATCAACATATAGGGTAAGTTTTTAGAGTGTAATCCGCAGATACGATGGTTGTTTCAAAAACAAGGTTCCCAACGCTGTAGCTTTGCCGCGCGTGATGCTAGGCAAAATCTGGCAACACCGACGTGTTTGTCGGCTCCCCCAACACCGATCCCAACAAGAAGCGCCTGTTGGCGGTGCTCAGTACCGGCCTGACAGCCATGAACAATGGGACCGTTCATCGCCAGGTGCGAAGTTAGTGCAGTCATAAACAAGATAATAACAAGCTAATTAAACTAAATATTTAAAATGTCAATAAAGTAAAAAAATCCCAATACAAATGTTTAAAGTCAATTTTCTCCATTACGGGTGGATTTTACCATGATTGACAAATCAACAAGCCGTTATTTTCCACCAAAGGGTAACAGTCCGTCAAATATAGCGAATGAGCTTTAAGATCCATTCAACAAATTTTAGCAACCAATAGCTGTGAAATATTGAAAACAAAATATTGTCAAAGTATGAGATGGCAGCTTGTCATTGAAACATCACCAGCTTAATGAATATTAAGAAATTACATATAATTCAGTCAAAATTTAAAAAAGTATTTGATTTTTGAATAAAATTACATGCTTTTTTACTATTGTTGATTGTTTATTCATGTTTATATTATTTTCTTCAATTGATATGCCATTTTACTGATTTAACATCACTTACCGTGTATTTTTCCCATAAACCTCTTGCAGATAACCACACCTACTCGATGACAAATACACTACCAAAAACTTCATAGAGATTGCTCGTTTCCAAACATTTATTCATTTACTTGCCATTCAGCAGTACCATTATGGCACTTAGATTGATATTCGCACAAAATCATTAGGATTTTTGATATCCATACACACAAAAAGTTGAATATTATTCGTTGTTCAGGAAGTGAACAAATATCCACACTATATTTGCAGCGATTGAGAAATACCCAAATTTATGTAGTAAAGCTACCAGCAAACCTAACATCCGCAATAAACTGGGGTATTTTCACCAGTATGCATTACGGTAGAATTACAGCTGATTATCTCCTGATATTTCAAAACTCCCCATATCGACAAGTGACACATAATTCTGTGGGATTCGTCTTTCGCTTGGTCCCAGTGGAGCAAACCCGGCCAACTGTTGAAATATACTCTAACTATGCGTAGACTAGACTAGACTACGGACTATACGTAGTGGAATTTTTCCCAAAATCGTTGTACAACACTTTGCTAAAATCTTATGAAAAATAGAAGCCTCAAATGGAATATTGATGAATATGGATGGGATGTGCATAGAATTTAGAATATAAATTTATATTGCAAGTTTCAGATTGTCATGCATGGACTTGAACCGGATTTTTCGGTATTTATACCAAAATGAGAATATTTACCGAAAACGTTAATTTCCACGATTTTTCAAAATAATTCAAATATTTCCATACTAGCATAGAGCTGGCACCAAAAATAAAGCTAAAAGTTAATTTTATATAGTCTTCATGGTTTTATGCTCCATATCAATCAAACATATGTCTACACACTCAGGCAGTCAGGCACACGAGAGGCGTAGATTTGGGTTGCCTATGATTACGAACGCACATCCTCATCCTTTAGTCCGCTTGTCCTGAATTAATTATTGTGCGTACAAAAGATACTGACTGGTAAATTACCGACATTACCGCATCACCTGACAAGCAATAATGAAACCGAAACCGGTCTGTTTTCAAAATAAATATTTAATTAAAATGTGAGGTGAGTTCATGAGTTCAGGGGTAAAGCAGAAAAATATTCACAATCCTAGGAGCAAGAATAATAATAGGTTGATGCGGATAAATTAACAAACATCGATGTTTTAGGACCCAGGAATGATGATTGTGCTGTTTGTTTACATTTGGTGTGTATTTCTAGAACATAAATTGATAATAAATTGTTTTTAATGTAATAAAAGATGATGAAGCTAGTTGGAATACGTTTTATATCCTTTTTTTGCAGATTAAAAAAAATAGGTAAATTTCTACAGGTACGTATTTTGTACAACACTCTGTATGTGATATAGAGACAAAACTAGATTGCCATGCATGGGCAGTCATCAAAAACAGTGACAACATTCTATTAATTATAATAGCTAGAAAATCGACCTATTATTTCTTGCATTTTCAATTGGTCCATTTAAATATATTAAGTTCCCGTCTTTTATGAAATGATTAGTCACAAGTTATCCTAATTCTAAAGCTCAAAGACATGGTATTACATCTAGAATTTAGGTAACCTTATTTATGAAACAACCGCTTTTCATCGATTTTATTCAATATTTCATTAAAAATTACTGATATTAGGAGGGCTTTGACAGCTTCCGTCAAATTGCATTTCAATAAGCTGTTCCCTAATTGATTGAAGACCCCGTTAGATTTTAATGTTAGTGAAATCGACCCTAAATGATTTTGTTACATGTTACCTTTATCCACTTGTGTCTTCAATTACTATATATCATACCTTGTCCATAAAATGGTACCATAGCGTGCGCTGCATCCCCAATGATTAGAAACTTCGACCCAAAATGATGTGGACTACATTTAATAGATATTAGCTGAGAGGGTTTCGTGCTTAAGAATGTATGTACAAGGCTGTTTTTTCCAATCAGTGGTACTGCATCGGGGAATATATTTTCAAAAAAGTACATTATGCTGTCTTCATCACGTAAAGAGGTAAAGTTGTCGAGTGGCATAAACAGGGTAACAGTCCAAGACGTATCTTTATTTGGTAGTGCTATCATCATGAATTGACCTGAAAATTAAGTAAAACTGTTGATTGTGTAGACTACAGGAGCTCTTAGTCGGCAGTCGGCTTGTTAAGTCAGAATATCTATATCTATAATTTCAAGAAAAATGTAAAAACTAAGTTTATGTTGGCGAATAAAAAGGCCTGAAAAAACCCCGCAGAAGCCTTAGAAGGAATGGCTTTCGGCTATCTTTTTTTAATTCAGTATGTCGTAGATCTCAACGCGTAGAACAAAAGTGGCCATCAGCTTAAATGTTTACTTCCCTGCCAAGGACGTAGTGTGATCGCGAAAATTTTCGAAAATAAGATTGTATTTACTTATACCCCCACTTGGTAAGATACTTAAGATGCTTTTGAAGGCAACAACCTATTAACTGACAGTCAATTCGGTTTCAGATCAGGTAAGTCTACTTCTCTAGTTATTGCCAGCTTCATTGAGAAAATAAATGCAGCTTTTGAAAGTATGGCTCATTGCTTAGCTTATCTTTTTGATCTTACTAGGGCCATAGATTGTGTCCAGCATGAACAATCTTTCACAAAAATTGTCGCATCATTTAAGTACAGAATTAAAGCTTACCTTATGAAGAAAGCTTTTTATACAATCGAAGAATGTGTTGTAGTGTGCTTGTACAGTTTTATTCTGTTTGCTAACTTGTTCGGATGAGCTTGTTCTATACTTTTGTATTTATTTTAAATTCATAATATCATTTTACAGTTTTCTGTTAATGTTGGTCTTTCCAACAAATTTTATTGTTTTGTGAATTTACACTTTTGAATGAATTTTACCTTCTCCTTTGACATATGTAAGCACGCAAGTGTGTTAAGCACCAATAAAGAAGTGAATGAATGAATGCACATCACGAAAAGCCACGTCAATCATCTCCGTCGGGCTGTCGGTCAAAATGTTTATTGACACAATTTCAGCAACAATCTCGCCCACTTAGTAAGTAATTATTTTCCTCCTAATTCTTAATTGTTGCTATGTTTTCAAAAACTGTTTTTTAGCTCCAGACGATGATGGCATAGACCATCGAAAGCTCGAATTCAAGTTGTAAGAGTGTACTTATGCAAAAATTTGCCATCTACCTAAACAAATTTTAAGGATATTTTCTCCTAACAGTTAAGGCAACTAACTATGAATAGGTACTATATATATAGATAGAGAGAGAGAGAAAATTATCATGCGGAGAGAGGTATATATATATATATAGAGAGAGAGAGAGAGATAGAAAATTATCATGCGGAGAAAGGTATATAACAGAAAATAGGAAAATAATGGGCAAAATCCGCAAAAAGGGAAAGTGGATTCGAGCAGAAAATAGGATAGGTACCCAGAGTAATACGTATTTCTGCTTGTAGGCTTCATCAGTCCTGAAATGAATGCACCTAAGCAACTACAAAAGTAGATACACATGCCCATACATCCGGATACGGATGTAACCTGAGGAAACGAAGATGGAGAAGGGAAAAAATGACACACGAAGTCGACAACAAGAGCCAATCTACACATTGTAGATAAAATGGCGAGAAGACCTCGAATTTTCAAGGCGACAACTAACCACAACCACGCGGCCGGTTATAGCCACTTACTGTGGTACTTCAAGCCCAAAGGATCTACGAAGATAAAATTATTATGCGTGGAAAGGTATATAACAAAAAATAGGAAAATAGTAGGCAAGATCCGTGAAAAGAAGGAAAGTAGATTTGAGCAGAAAATAGGATAGGTAACCCGAGCGATCCGTATTTCTGCTGGTTGGCTTCATCAGGCCCAAAATGAATGCACATAAGCAAGTACAAAAGTAGATACACATGCCCATACATACGGATACGGGTGTGACCTGAGGAAACGAAAATGGAGAGGGAAAAAATTACACACGAAGTTCACAACAAGAGCCAAGCTACACATTGTAGTATAAAATGGCTAGGAGACCTCGAATTTTCAAGGCGACAACTAACCACAACCACGCCGCCGATTATAGCCGATTGCTGTGGTATTTCAAGCCCAAAGGATCTACAAAGAGAAAATTATCGTGCGGAGAAAGGTATATAACAAAAAAATAGGAAAATAATGAGCAAAATCTGCAAAAAGAAGGAAAGTGGATTCGAGCAGAAAATATCTGAGCCGTCGCAAAATCAGTGGAGGATCAAGTGCCTTTGCGTCACGCAGGACCGTCTATGAAAAAAGTTAGTAGTAGTAGTAGTATTATTGTATTGAGCGCGCACACAACATTATGTTTTTTGAGGGAATACAACTTATATAGTGACATATAAATCCGAACACCCAGTTTAAATGGTTTTATTTTAATAAAATTTTGTATAAGTACTTGATGAAGCATAATAAGTAAATGATAAAAATTTCAAAATGATTGCACTGCTTTAAAGCCCTTTGACCTTTAATAATGTGTGGATGCACCCTGATGTGCAACGCATTCTCCAACGCGCCTAGGCATGCTTCTGATCAGGTGGTCAATGTCCTCCTGTGGTATCTCATTCCAGGCAACCACCAACTCCTCTCGAAGTGCTTCTAGAGTCTGAGGAGGACGTTGCAAATTGAGCAATCTCCTACCCATCATATCCCACACGTGCTCAATTGGGGATAAGTCGGGAGATCTTGGTGGCCATGGTAACAATGTGACATCATTATGTTGAAAGAAGTCTATTGTGACTCTTGCAACATGTGGTCGGGCATTATCTTGTTGGAAAGTTGGATCTGCCAGGGTGTCAAGATAGGGTAAAAGATGGGGTTCTAGAACTTCGTGGATATAACGCTGCGCGTTCATGTTACCTCTGATGAAGATTAAAGGTGACCTGGAACCATAAGCTATAGCACCCCAAACCATAACTCCAACAGTGTGATGAGCATGTCTTTCAACAAAAAACTGTGGATTCCTCCTTTCACGTCGCCTTCTAACCCTTACACCGACGTAATCGCCTTGAGTGGTGCAGACAACGGTCACTCTGGGATCAGGAATGGAACAGTATTGTCTTTAGTGACGAGTCTCGATTTTGTTTAGGCATGCACGATGGTCGTGCCAGGGTTAGAAGGCGACGTGGTGAAAGGAGGAATCCACAGTTTTTTGTTGAAAGACATGTTCATCACACTGTTGGAGTTATGGTTTGGGGTGCTATAGCTTATGGTTCCAGGTCACCTTTAATCTTCATCAGAGGTAACGTGAACGCGCAGCGTTATATCCACGAAGTTCTAGAACCCCATCTTTTACCCTATCTTGACACCCTGGCAGATCCAACTTTCCAACAAGATAATGCCCGACCACATGTTGCAAGAGTCACAATAGACTTCTTTCAACATAATGATGTCACATTGTTACCATGGCCACCAAGATCTCCAGACTTATCCCCAATTGAGCACGTGTGGGATATGATGGGTAGGAGATTGCTCAATTTGTAACGTCCTCCTCAGACTCTAGAAGCAGAATGCGTAGCACATCAGGGTGCATCCACACATTATTAAAGGTCAAAGGGCTTTAAAGCAGTGCAATCGTTTTGAGATTTCTATCATTTACTTATTATGCTTCATTAAGTACTTACGCAAAATTTTATTAAAATAAAACCATTTAAACTGGGTGTTCGGATTTATATGTCACTTAGTATACAATAGGCATACTGGTCGCACTTTCAAACTCCTTTGCAACTATCCTGGAAACATCTTATTCTATTCTAGCTTATAAATAGTATTTTGTATACTTTTCTCTTTTATCCCTGCACATATGAACTTTCATCACCTCACATTTTAATGAAATATTTATTTTAAAAGCAGATAGGTTTCGGTTTCCTTATTGCTTGCCCGGTGAAGCGGTAATGATGGTGATCTGCCAGTCTGTACCTTTTGAACGCACAAAAATCAATTCAGGGCAAGTGGAGTTAGTGCGTACGTAATAATAGGCAACACAAATCTACGCCCTTCGTGTGCCCGACTGCTTGAGTGTGTATGCATAATATGTATGATTGATATGGGGCATAAAACTACAGAGACTACATAAAATTCACTTTCAGATTCCTTTTTGTGCCAGCCCTTTTTCGGCAAAAAATCTGGAAATATTTGAATTATTTTGAAATGTTGTGGAAAATGACGTTTTCGGTAAATATTTTCATTTCGGTAAAAATACCGAAAAATCCGGTTCAAGTCCAAGTTTTAGCATGCATAGAAAATCTGAAACTTGCAATATGAATTTCTGTTCAGTTTTGCGTTTATGACAAATTCTGGACATGAGATATATGGGATATAAAAAGTGATAACGATTCATAGAAATACAAATTTGCTTAAAATGAGAACACCACCACCCCAGTCGTTTTGTTTATACTTACACTCACAATGTGAGTAATTATTCATATCAACCTTAAGTATTTCGCAAGCATCATTACGCCTCAAATTCTATGTATATCCATTCGTATTCATCAATGTTCCATTTGAAGCTTAATTATTCATAAGATTTTAGCACAATGTAAACATTAAAGGTAGCGAAAATATCCAGTGGGTTGTCAACCCGCAGCCCAGGTAGGTAATAAGAACGATAGCTGTCAAAATTTATTGATAGCCTGGGGCACCGATGAAGCCATTTGGGACGTCATGGCGTTAATTTTGAAAATTTCATTTGCATTTGCAAGTTATGTGCAACAATTTCGGGAAAAAATCCACTACGGAAAGTCTTATAAAGCTTAGGAGAGTATATTTCAACAGTTGGCCGGGTTTGCTCCACTGGGACTAAGCCGGTTAATCGAATTTAAAAAACAGATTATTCAATTAATCGGTAATTTCTGCCCATCCCTATCGAGTAAGTTGTCTGACAATTTAAATCTGTCCTGTTTTCTTTGCTTGCATCACAATTGTGTTTTCAGAATCCTGATGAAGGCTCCATAGAGAATGCCTAAAGCTTGATTTTATCGTCAAAAGAGTCAACTTAAGCCTAAAAAAATTTGCCAAAATTAAAATCTGATGTGATGCAACTTCATATGTGCAGGGATAAAAGAGAAAAGTATACACAATA